CGTCTCATGCATTAAAAGTTACCTAACACATTCAGACTGAAAGGCAGTATTGTTTTCCTGTAATTGCATTGACCTACAAGCGTTTTGAATATAAAAACTATGATATGCAAACTCATTTCAGCAGAGAGATGACTGTAATTGGATTGAACAGAACAGGGGTGTTGTGTCCTTGTCGTATTCCACTGCTGTAGGTTGTTAAAGGTGCGTCTGCTCTCCATAGGCACAGCAGGAGACTCAGAAGGCAGCTTTGAGCTACGAGAGAGCCGTTTCCATGCACACAGCTGCCAGGGAGATGGTCTATGTGGCCGAGCAGGGCCTGCTGGCTGATGGCAAGAACACCCTGGATCCCACCTGGCAGGAGATGCTCAACCACGCTACCGCCAAGGTAACAGAGAAGAGCAGTTTTAAGATGCACGGCTAAACAGAATGCTTTCATTTCTATTTGTCACCTCAACAAGGTTGCTATAGTTTTACCAAACAATGCAGAGTTCAGTCATCTCTGAGTTTATCTGGGTAGAGTCAGAATTTTGTCTGATTATTCTTGTTAGGTTTTTGCTCTCCAGTGTTTTTTGCGTGCACACATGCACACCATTACTTTTCTCCGTGATCTCGCTGCTCTGCTGTCTGCATTGTTTGTGGAAAAATAAGTGTGCAGATAAGTGTAGTGATTCTTGGCAGCCTTGGATATACTCACAAACTCACTGTTGCTGGGTTACAATTGCCAGACTCAACAGAAAAGATACAGACAGCTGGTGAACTTCAGTGCCCTCTCAGCTGTAACATGCAGCATGGATGACATGATTTTCTTGGCCTTGAGTGTCACAGAACTCTGTAAATGCTTGACTTGTTTCTTCCTTTCAGTTACAGCACAGTTTAGATCTAAGTGTGATCTGGCTTCTAGATATTATATTGATAGCTGGACTAGTTTGATATTGCTACAGTAGTTTCAGTCATCTGCAGATTTTAGAGAGAGCAAAATGAGTGCTCTGAAAATCTCGCCAACTTTAGTGAAAACTGTGAATGCCTTTAGCTGTTTAAAAACACATTATGTTATCACTCTGTGTCTTGGTAGCCAATAGAAAGCTAGTATAATGCTGTTACCCTGGCTGCTGTAGTCCTGCAAACATAACTTTACTCAAATTATCTATATCACAATAAAAAGATGGACGAAGTCACGGCAGCATCAGCCACCGGTTTTGATTTTCACTCAGCAAAACCAAAGTACAAACTCCTTGGATTGGCTTTACTGCACAGAACAACGTATAGTTCCTTAAGAAGACGCAGTAACGGCGCTACACGGTGAAAAGGTCCGTTCAGTGATTCTAGTTAGCTGAAATGAGGCCTGGCAGACACAAATCAGCTACACCCTTGCATACACCCTTTGACCTGTAAAACTGTGCATGTTAACATGGGAGCTTATAGGCACCGACTCACTTTTAGAGTCAAGCTTAAGTGACCCCCGGAGGAACCGCCATTAGGGCACTTTCATTCACTTACATCTTCATCCTCACAGGTCACCTTTTCTTTGCACCAAATGCTTTGGCTTATGTCGGAGAACTACACTAGTAGACAGACCTGACATGTGGCATCCCACTGTGTCAGCAAATATTTGAAATCTGATTATATAGCTGAATATTTAAAAACATTGAACCTCAAATTTTGGATATAAAAAAACTGCATTTATGGGATCACGAGTAAAATAAGATAAAAATTTCATCTACCATCATCTTTGCTGTGGCAGAATTTTATTTTTTATCTTTTTAATGTCTCTGGCAATAAACACCTACCATAATGTGTCAGAGTCAGAATAGCTGCTTAGTGGAGGCCCACTGATGTTGAAAGAGAGGTGAATGATCGATGTTACTCTAACTAGGGAATCTAAGTGGACAGTTATCAGCCGAGTACCTGTAGGTAACCGATGTCAAGGCCCAAAGTTTGTCTTGTTCTTAATTTTTCTTCTCCTTTTCTCAAGTCTAGCAAGTCGTTCAGGCCTTGAAGTTGGTCTTGATGGTTGGTAGCTTGTGTCTAAAGGAATATCCTAAAAATCCATAACTTCCTGACGCTTTGGTGTAATATGTCTTTGACTACTTAGAGCAGGGGTGCCCAATCCCAGTCCTCGAGAGCTACCGTCCTGCAGCTTTTAGACGCATCCTTCTTCTGACACACCTGAATCAACTGAATGGCTTGTTATCAGGCCTTTGCCAAACTTGATGGCATGCTGAAGAGGTAATCACACCATTTGATTCAGCTGTGTTGGAGTAGGGATGCATCTAAAAGCTGCAGGATAGTAGATCTCGAGGACTGGGATTGGGCACCCCTGACTTAGAGTTTGTGTGAGGGCCTTTTAAACAAATAATCAAGTGTCATTTCATTTGGCAGCGCAGACACAGAAAGTACAAAGTCTTGAATTGTGCTTTATTGTGCTATTAAAATGTTTCCAGAAATTTAGAAAAGACAACAATAAAGAGTGTGCCTGAAACTCTGTGGACAGGCATTTACAAACTAAACAAGAAGCCTTTTCAGTTCTTTACTTTTTTAAGAAAAAAAAAACTAATGAATGAACAGTGAGCTAAATGGTTGGGAATGAAGATCAAGGCAAAGTTTCTGATAAAACCAGTCATATTTGCATTAAGAGAAGTGCCGTTTCCTGTTATAATACCGTGCGTCTCCTGTGTCTCTCGCAGGTGAACGAAGCCGAAGAAGAGCGTCTGCGCAGTGAGAGGGAGCACATGCGTGTCACGCACGCCTGTCAGGAGGCCGAGGCGCGTGTGCAGATGCTGCAGAAGTCCCTTAAGAGAGTCATCATCAAGTCCAAACCTTACTTTGAGCTCAAGGCCCAGTTCAACCACATACTGGAGGTAACACAAAGAGCCCAGTGAGACCTCTGTTTAGACACCTTCTGTTTAGTGTTTCCCGCACTTAGAAAGCTTTATCTGCTGATTTGGCAAAAGTTCTATAATATATTCAGTATTTTATGGATTTACTGGAGGTTACTGGGAGGTTATTTTCCTACTGGCATGAAATCAATGTTGAAATTGATGATGAAAGTTGCTTTGTGTGACTCCAGGAGCACAAGGCCAAAGTGCTGCAGCTGGAGCAGCAAGTAGCCAAAGTGAAGACCCGCTATTCCATCGCCCTGCGGAACTTGGAGCAGATCAGCGAGCAGATCCATGCTCAGAGAGGGCGGGACCCGGGCCAGGGGGGAGGACGCCCTTCTATCTGTGTCGGGCGGAGCCCCCCTGTCGGAGCAGAATCTGACATCAAGGTTCAGGCTGAAGGCGGAGCCTGTGGCGGCGCCATTGGAAGGGATGGAGTGGACGCATCCATCGACCTGCTGGAGAGATACAAGGAGAAGGAGCATGAGAGGGAGAGGGAGCGAGCCGGCTCGGATTCCCTTTCAGTCTTCAGCCTGCAGACCATTGCTTCTGACCTCGAGAAATACGACTCCATCGAGCACCTCGGGAATCTCAGCGACGTGGGGAGCATCACCGGGGATGAAGGGGAGAAAGAAAAAACCGGAGTGACCAATAAGAGAGACAAGCTGGTGGAAACGAGCGCCAAAGAGCGCCAGCAACAGTTCTATAAGCAGCACCACCGAAGCTTCAGTTTGTGAGGCTGTCATAGAAACAGCTGCTGTAAACAATGCAAAAATAAAAACAGCAATCCACACTAGGATAAACTTCCCTCATTAAAAAGGTACCAAACAAAAGTATGAGACAGGGAATTAAGTGAAAAAGAAGGAAAGCTGCAGCGATGGGTGTAAATAAGCACATGCACATTATTCTAAAGCTGAACACAGTAAACAGTGTAGCCTAGTTAGAACACTACAGGATCTACAGAGCTTACATCCCTGCAGGACAAGTATTCAGTATATTTACTCCTCTGAAGGATTCTGGGTAGAATTTGTTCCTTGAGCATGAAGGAGCAGCTAAGAAAGATGAAAAGCCTTGTTTGAACAGACATATTTAAAAAGGCATCATTTTTTGCTTTCCCAGGCTAATCGTTGATCTAACTTGGTGAGACTGGTAAAAACATTCTCCCTCGTCCTCCTCTGTTGCTTCCTCTCCAGTCGAGTCGAGTCTCATCAGCGATTGCTTCAAGGTAGAAGGTCGCAGGGCCCCTGAGATCCCCACCTCCTCATCGAGTAGGGAAGAATGTAAAAAACGTTTCTTTGTCAGTGCAGAGTGAAAGCATGTTTGAATCCTTGTTCCATGTGTTTATTTCCTGTAACATGCTGCAAGTTGTGCTTTTTTTTTTTTTTTGGACGTTTTAGCACGAGAGAATGCGTTTTTTGAAAATCCCTGAAATGAGTCTTAAGGCAGCATGCACTCCATCATTTCGGTTTTTGAGCGCTGCTTACTGAAACAAACACTGACACAATCAGCCTTATTTGTTTTATTTAACTTGGTGTTGTAACACTGGAGTGTCATGATCCAGATGATTTGGATATTGTTTACATTTGTGTATATTTTTTGCCCTTGTTGTAATTTGAGGTGTGCCTTGACACAAACAAATTTAGCTTGAGTAGTAGTTTGTTGTAATCTCAGTTTGGAACCATTTAAATATGAAGTGAGTGCCCGTTTTATGATTTTAAAATATTTTTAACAGCCTGACTGATTTTTGACAAGAATTGAAAGAGTTCTGATGATGATTTTTTTTGGTTCTTTTATGATTGTACTTTGTCAAAGAAGCAAAACAATGAAGTCAGAAAAGAAAGACTTGTAAATTTGTGTAATTATTACAAAGCTGGAAAATACTGACATGTACAGATGTTGAATCTTTGCTGTACAGATGTTCTGAGTATGGCAGACATATTTAAAGTCTCATTATTGTCAGTTTATCTGAAAAACCTCACTTTTCACCGCTGTCTTAACAGTTACTTTTCACCCTCTGAATCGCATTTGTGAGTTAGTCGGATTGGATTGTCACACCTGTAATCAATAAAAGCAGATCCTGCTGCCTGGCCTTCTGTTCTTTCATGCTGAATTCAGTGGGATGGGAATTTGTGAATTTCTTCCCTCGCCTTGCTTCAATTATTCAGCAGACATATAAATATGAAGCAGGATCGCGAGAAGATGGAAGAACGGGGAGAGGCTGATTTAATAGATGACCAGTGTTGTGGGGATGACTGATTGCTGCCTCGTTGACTTAAGCTCCAAAGAGCTTTAGAGAAAGGCTTAACAATGTAGACCGCGTTAATACCACAGCGCCATATCTGCACCTCCTCTTGTCTTCCTGCCGTCGAGATAATTATCCACGTGGACTGAATCTGCAAGCTCATAAATCCAAAGCCGCTTCTTAAGATTGTGCTATGTTTTTGCTGTTGTGGGGCTTTAGACGTCGGCATGTTTCATCTTGGAAAGGAGGGAAAGAAAAAAGATGCGATAAATGCGTGAGGGGGGCTGTTACGCACGGCGCGTCTCCATCATGACGTCGTGAATTAGCTCAAGATCGTAGAGGTGGAGAGAAAAAAAGGAGGGGAGTGTGGTGAATCGCTGTTTCGTCGTTTATGGTGGGCTTGCGTTTGTATATAGTGGATGTATGGGACTTTTTTTCTCTATGGATTTTTTTGTCATCTCTTCTCTTGGCCATGCGTAACTGCAGTACACGGAAACAATCCGAATGAGAGCCGTCTCGTTTTTGTAAGATTCTGTTTAGGCACGGAGCAGCTTGCACATTTACTGTATAGCCATATTAACAGAGCCATAAAAATTGTTGCAAAGATGCATATTTCTACCAAATAATCTGACACCGGGCTTTTCCCCTGGCGGGTCCCACCCGGAGGACTTACTCTTATCTTCACTGAGCGCATCGAAACTAATAGTAAGTACACACATGCTACAGCTTTGCTTCAGGGCGCTACATGCTATTAGTGCTGTAGGTCGCGATGTTAGAGCGCATTTATTCAGGAGACGCTCCATTTCCCGTGCACGGAATCTAGACAGCTGTCACATTTGAATGCAAGAGGCGTTCATTTTTTCGATGGGCCTGATTTGTTTTGATCCAGCCTGTTTGCATTTACATTTTAAAGCCTTTTAGAGACACAATGCGAGCTCTGCTCCTGTTTATGCAAGACGCAGCCGCTTTAGGCTGATGACATTATATTTGGACATCCTTTCATAGGAGGGCTTGTTAATATGGTCGGCCTTCCTCTACAGGCCATCACGGATTCCCTAGTCAACACCCGACGAGCAACTACCGGCAGCTTACGGTTGGTGGCACCCTTACTGTGACCCTCACGTCTCTGTAGTTCATGCTCAGCCATGCACAGAATGCAGCATCTGAGTGTGTGTGCATGTGGAACCGCCTGAAAATAGCCCACTGTGGGCTATTCTCAACATCACTGTGGTGCTGAAATGGGCCGGATCAGTCCTTATCCAGCGCAGCTTCCGGCAGCAGACTCGCACAAGGAAGTGTAGGCAGTGTGTATGCAGCAGTGACATTGGAAGTGGATGGGATTGAGGTGTGTGAGATGTTTCATGTAGTAGTTGTGTTTTGGAGGCGCTGTCCGTGGTGCTGAAGCCTTAATTGCTTTTCCAGCTCGAGGCCAGTCGACAGGCCCCCTTCTTTCCCCTCTGTCTGCTCAGTGCCAGGACAGCCTCAGCTGATGGAGTCGGCTGGCTTTGTGCCGTTAGGCTGCTCACTCACACAGTTTGCTTTTATCCGGCTGGGTGTGTGATCGCTGATATTAATGACTCCTGCTGAGCTGTCCTTCTTTCTCTCCCTGCTTCCCACACGGGACCAGAGCGCGCGCACACACAAACACACACCTATAATATGCACGCTCTAGTGGTGGTGTCTACCTCCTGCATGCTTCTTGTCAGTGAACTCTAAAAATACACTGGTTAATGCTAATGAAGTTTCCAGCAGAGTTTGTCTGCCTTCCACAGGCAAGCCTCGCTGCCATCTGTCTCCCTCACTGTGGTGCTTTACTTTGTTATCCCCCTCCACCCATCCCATCCCATTCCCACACACACACACACACACTTGATCAATCTCTGTACTGTCATGTTAGGCGTGAGAGTGTTTGGATGAGTTTTGTTTGGCAACCTCATAAAGCGGAATTTATGATTCGAAACTGCAAATGAACAGCTATATATAGGGTGTTTATCATCGATACTGTATGTGTGTGTGTGTGTGTGTGTGTGTGTGTTCCCCTGCCTGCCAATACTCCAGGGGCTTTGGGACTCCTGGGTGTTTTCACTGTTTTCTGGTAAGAAAAACATACTTTTTTGTCTGTTGTCATGAAGTCTGTGTACACATTAAATTCAGTTAACCGAAGACATTTTGTGATGTGCATTATGACCAGTAAATTCACACTTTGTGTAAAGAGATTTCCCATATTGAACTCTGGTTACAGGTGTAGAATTGCAGCATATGTGAACATCAAGTTGTATGAGCCCCTTTTGGGGTCCTAAGGGAGCTGCCAAGTTTGATGAATTGCCTCAAGTGAATAAAAAAAATCAGGGCATGTGTGCAGACCTCTGTAGCCCACTCTTTATCTCTGCTTGAGGGCTGCATGAACTGCTGCTGACATTATGGACCCAAATCTGTGATCAAACTGTTGACGGTGCGGTGCTTTCAGTGAATTGCTCAGCTGAATCATTGTTCCTTAAAAGCCTGTCAACACACCAAATAGCGGCACTCATCTTGCAAAAAGAAAGCTTTTGCAGCCACACTAGCTACAGCCATACTAGCTATTCTGGATATTTTTCTACTATGGAAGAGAAGAAAAGTCTGTTGAGTTTGCTTTGGTGTGAAATGGGGATCCACTTTGCAAAAAAATATCAGCGTCAGCCATCAAAGCCTGAGCTGAAATCTTGTCTACAGGGCTTTTGAAATGAACCTGAGCCGTCTGCACGGTGAATACAAACAGAAGCAGAGAGAGAGAAAAGTGGACTCATCGTGCAGCTTATCCGCCAGGTTGAAAAGGGAGCTTTTTTTTTGCCAAAAGGTTGATGCAGTGAAGCGAAAATGACTGCATCTGAGAACAGAGTGTGCGGCATTAATACTGTAAGGATATTTCCTCAGTAACCCATTTCTTTTTTGTCTCTTCCGTCTTCTCCCAAAACTCTTGATTTCCCTGCCACACTTTCCCGTTTTAAAACCTCTCTCTCTCTCCTCCTTCTCTTTCAGATCCAGAAATGGCACGGCTATTGTTTCTGATTCTTCTCTGTGCTCTTCCGTCTCTCGTTGTGCCCATACATAATTCATCAGCTGGAGGTAATTTGTGTGCAGGAATCGGTGTGTGTGTGTGTCTGTTTACAATATGCAGTAATGGACAGAAGTAACTCCGCAGAGATTGCTAAGTGACCCGAATGAAACGCTGCAATTTGTGCAGCGAGGAAGGCGTCAGTTAAACTGATAATATATCATGTTGCTGTAATATATCTGCATTATCTGGAGACAGAGCTTTCTTTCTATGCGCTTATCGTCCTTCATTCTGCCTCCTCCTCCTCCTTTTCCCCCTTTTCCCCCAGGCTGTGCCATCATCCGGCCTCCCAGGGATGGTGGGATCCGCTATAGAGGCCTAACACAAGAACAGGTACAGAGAATCTGGTTACTGCAGAGTATCGAAGCTCATCAGTCAAATCAATCACATGAGACTGCTGCCAGTTTGAAGATTTCAAAACAAGTGACACAGAAGTAGATTTGTGTCTGTTAAAAAATAAATAAATGTAAAAACATCTCATATAATTATTCACCAATATGCACCTGAAAATATAAAAACAGGCATTTAATAAATTTGAAAATGTGATGCAATTAACTTTTCTTATAGATGGCTTTTTTTTGCAATGACTTGTATTAATTTGGTTATAAAATAGGGGTTTGAGGGTGTTGGGGAAAGGAAAGATTAATAATTAAATAAATTGATAAATATAAAATACTCCATAAATGTGTAAATATCATGTTAGGCCACCAGACGTAATATTTAAAAAAAGAAAAGACATAACTACTTTATAAAATGTGAAAAATGTGTATTTTGCATTTAATTTTCATTATTTTATAACAATAATAAAATAATGTAACAATTTTTTTTATTGCTTTTGGAAAATAAACAGAAAAATAAATAATAATAAATTTACAAACAGAGAAACAAGAATACGAAAGTGAATTAAATTAGAAATATCATTTTACATTCTGTAAATGATTTAATGTTGACTGTTGTGCTGTAAATCATGTACCGTCTACAGGTTTTACCTTTGGTGCATTTAATTCAAAACGTTCTTTTAAAAATTGTTTTGAATGCTTATTTTTTGGGGTATTTTCAATCCTCCGTATCTTCTTTGAAGATTCACCGGTGATTAAAACTTTATGAAGAGAGAGATTTTAGCTAACGGCTGAATGATTTTACACAACACACTGACTAACTAGAGAACACATGTGAGACCTGGCAGGCTGCAGCTGTTGTTCGAAGACACCACGAAAGCCTGTGTTTACTGGAGGAAAAGGAAGTTTATAGCTCATAACCAGCAGAGAACATCTCAAACCTGTCGTCTGGCACTCCAGCTTTAAATGCTCAGTCACACATGCTGTACCAAACGTACGAACAATGAGCTGCGCTTTGAGGACAGGACAGTTTTGCCAAGACCACTTGCGAGCTTTTGTAACTGATAATGGCAGCGAACTGAGGTGTGACAGTGCAACAGCAATCAATAAGGGACAAATGTCTGTGTTGTCAGTAAGAAGTGTCCAAGTCAGTCCCGTTAATCACTGAGCCAAAATTTTACAGGAAAAACCAAAAAACTAAAACGTAGCAGGTTCATTTCCTCTAGCATGAGTGACATGAAGTTATTTACAAATGAAAACTTCCAGTGTGAGTTTGACCATAGACTGTATATAAAAGATGAACTCGGCATTTTGAAACCTCCGCATTAGCATTTTGGGCACTGTCATGTTTTATTTTAATGAAAAGTTTTTGAGGCAGAAATGGAAAATATTGGATAACAGTTTGGAGTGCTAAGTTATCGCCTAATGCTAGTAAGCTTGGTTGGTCATAAACTGTATGAGTGCAATGCAAAGACATGCATACCTGCTAATTTAATGGTAAGTGACAAACTAATACAATTCCAGAGTTTCACTCCGCAGCACTGAGGCACAAACTTCTTGAATGAGCTGTAGGTCCAGCAGACACCCGTCAGTGGGAGCACCCACTGCACACCGGTCCTAAAGGGGGAAACTATCAATAGAGGGTGACACTGGTTTTATCAGTAGGCTGTAAACATGTTTATTTTTGCAGTAAAGTTGGACATAATGTGGGCGTCTATGTGGAGTTCTGCACATGGCTATTAGTGGAATTGCAGATTTTGGCACCGGCTTCATTTTTCAACCCAAGAAGTTTCTGCTTAAGATATAAAAATTGCATCCAAAACTTCCACAGCTCCCATATGCTCAACAGTCCCACAGAGCATGTTTCACAACCTTGAACATGACATTGTAATAGTTTCTCATGAGATTTAATGTAAAAATTTATAAAGCAAAAGATCCTTAATGATCTAGTTTAGCTCTAACATACGGCCCAACATGCTACCATGAAACTGGCTTCACATAAACATTCAACTTAACTGTTCCAAAAACTCTGCGATTGGGCTCTCAGAGATATTTTTTGCTGTAGCTGCATGCCTCGTTCCAGTTCAGTGACTTTCTGAAGCCTCTGTTTACTCGAGCTGTGTACAGGGTGCCGCAGCACTGTGCAAACTACAGCTACAACCTGGCAGGCCAAAATTTTATCAAGCGTTTAAAGTGATATGCCAGCTGGATTAAAGTGTGCATGGGGATGGATTCGTCCCACAGGCCTTGATTTTGATGATGTCGGCTGGAGTACTGTTATCTTAAAGTGCCCAATGATATGAGTGTGTGGACAGGGCCAGTGCTGGAAAGTTAATTAGTACGTTTACTCAAGTACTTTACTAAAGTAGTGGTAATTAGGGATGGGTATCGTTTAGGTTTTATCCGGTGCCAAACCAGTACTTTTGAAACGGTGCCGGTGCTTAAAGAATGGAGAACACAAAATTGGTCCAAAAACTCTCATGTTCAGCTGTTTTCCACTTTTTCCTTGGTCCTTTTAGCCTTTTTGGCCAGGGTGAAGGGAGTATCTGCCATCAAACAAGAAGACAGCCGCATGTAGCTATGATGGTGTTTGCTAGTTCACCTTACATGCATTAATGTAATAACGTGGTTAGCCTACTCAACGTAAATTACACACGAACAACATTAAGCTCCTCACGCAGAGAAGAACGGCTGCTGCTGCATCATCGATGTTGCATAACAGGCAACCCACCCGCAGTAGATGTGCTCGGTGTGAGGTCTCGCAGCAAGCTATCAAATACGGCGCATTTCTCGGCTTTTATAAAAAACCGCTATGCGTCGCCAGGTGTTTCATCGGATTTGAGGTGTTACCTCCTTTGACAGTATCACAGTATCAGCTTAAAGCACTTGTTGCTGCTGAGTTTGCATCTTTTGCTGTGAAGTACAGCCAGACTTTTGACCGCTTTGCTTTGGGCATTTTTAATCTGTAGCTCTGCTCTAAAAGAACGTACGTACCTGGCCCCGCCTACTATCCTCGGAAACGTAAAATGATTGGCTAGAATCCAAAGTGTATGACATCTCAGGGGAAAAAAAAGCACCGAAATGTGCGCTGCTTTTCGGTCTGGTTACTACCGTTTATGTCAGATCCGGTGCCATTGATACCGGTACCCATCCCTAGTGGTAATGCACTTAAGTATTTCCATGTTATACTACCACCTACTCGTACTATACTACATTTTGGATGCAGATGCACTTTGTAAAAATCCAATAATACTTGATTCTGTATATCAGTAAGATTTAAGTGTTAAACACATCAATGCATCAATAATTGTGATCTGGTAATTTATTATTCTTGACGTTAGAGTTCATGCTCAAACTTTTTGACCCTTTACTAAACGCTGCTACATAAAGTGATGTTTAAACAGTACAACAACACCACTTTTTGTGTATTATATCTGACTAAGAACGCAGGGCGGCACACAAGCCTGAAAATTGTTTTAAACATCTCGGAAACAGTGATGACTCTTTGCGCTTTGATGATGGAAACTTGGCAGTTTGATTGAAAGCATGCGTCACTTCAGTTTCTGAAGAGCAGTCCCTCGGTGGCTTTTAAACAGTCACTACAGTCACTGACGTGGGCAGTGAATGGGAACATGGCAGTGTGTTAAAAAATGATTTAAGGGCAAAGCGCACACACACGGATACACCAACCAGCTCTGATAACAGAGAGGGATCAGAACAGGAACTGGATGCTGAGCGATTCGATCAAATTCTTTACTTTTGGACTCTGAACGGTACCGAGGCGACCGAGTTGACACCAAATGAGAACCAATGAATCGGCTCAGTTGCAGCAGAAGTAGCTGAGCATGTGCTTATACAGAGATTATATGAAAGGAGTGTTTGGCAGTACTGTGACACTGAGAGCGGCTCAGGAAAAAGTCTATTTCATACTCAAAAATAAGTCACTTTTTACTTAATTCCTTCAGAAACAGAAAAGACAATATAGACACTGGAAGTTCAAAGTCTTGTGAATATTTTAAAGGTTGAATGGAGTTTGTAGCGCAGTGTGAGTCAGAGGAGCTGAGCAGGTTAGAGTGAGCTGGGAGGAGTGTAAAAAACAAATGGAGGGTTAAACTTGGAGGGATTTTTAAAGCTGGATTTCTCAGCATGAGCCACGTTTATAGTGACATTAATAGCAGAAATAATAATGATGCTTCAGAGAAAAATGCAGCAATGACCTGCTGCCATTAAGACAAATCCACTTTATTAACTAAAGTAAGATTGCCTTGTTGCTTGATATAAAGAATGATCCTGTTGTGATTGGTGTTCGTTTACACCACATTTACAGCTTGGCTTGAGTAAGGCACCCTGTCTATGATGAGTAGTAATGGTATAATTTAAAAACACTGGTGGCCCTGCCAGGAGGCTGCTACCCCTCAACCTCCAGCCAGTAGAAATTGTTAGGTGGCACAAATCCTCTGGAAGTACAAGTTTGAGAACACATAATTCCCAGGTCTCAGTCGATCTTAGTGGGGTGCACATGAGCCTTAGTGAATTTATTCAGCATATCAATTCAAAAAGCACATGGCTAAGCAAGAACCAGGAATAACACATGCTAAAATTCTAATAAACATAAACCACTGAGAGCGCAGGCATCTCCTACGCCTGGTATTATTGCTTTATGACCATTGTGGTTTTTGATTGTTTGTAAGTCAAATAGCCTTTTGATGCTGTTTTTGCTGGATGGTCATAAAATAAAAGTGTATCAGCTGTTTGTTTGTTTTTTTATCTTTTCCTCAGCACAAAAGAATACTGACATCTTTCTCGAGTTAAAGGTTTTCAAAAAACTTGTCCTGTGACTTTGACCTTGAGGTCAAGTAGATACACCTGTGTTATCAATAAGAAAATTCTACGTTGCCTGATTCTCAAATTAACGTGTTCACAAAGTTCTCCGACTATTCTGACTTCCAGCTCTGATTTATTCGCAGTTCCATTCAGTCGATAGTCAGTCAGCTGAAGCTGTCATTTACATCAAATTAGCGGTCGGCCTCACTGACCACTCAAAGCACTTAACAGCATAACCAGACTACAGAATCTCAAGCAAAATCTTAAAATGCCCCAGATTTCATTTTCCTAAACAGATAAACATCATTTGACAAACACGCTGAGTCTGACATTAGTTGGACAAACTATGGATTTTTATGGCTGAAGATCAGTTGAATAGAAATCGAGAGTTTAGTGGTTCCACATGAAAACTGTTGTTTTGTTTTTATAGCTTTAAAGGGAACTCTGTCCATTTGGAAAAAGAAAGCTCCATCAATATTATCTGGTTCTTACAACTTTAAGCTAATGGTTCAGTTTTAGAGAACTTACTGTAGCACAAGCTGTGGGGCATGGAGCCACCGCAGGTCAGCTGGTGACAATCAGAGAAAAAACAGGACGGAAATATGATGAGTGTTTGCCTGTGCTATCATCCCGAGCTTTATTTCTCTAAAAATTCAACATTTTATTTTTAATGTTTTTGAAAAAAACAGAGTGTGGTATTATTAATGTTTCTTTTTCTCTTCTTTAAGTGAGGGTACGCCAGAACAAGTTGGAGATCCACTGACTTATCAAGTCATTCAGAATTTAGTGGCTCTGTGGAAAATCTTGAAGTTTTGCTTAAAAATATATATGTTTCATAGGTCAGCCTTTGCTGCATCAATTTTATGAGTTTGTATATTAAACATTCATATTTTAGAAAAAGAAAAAAGTCAAAGTGCTTCAGACTTGCTATCGTGCCCTGGTATTGCTTCAGCTTAGTTGCTGAGTTGTCTGCTCCTGCCAAGGTGTGGATAAAAGCACTGAGGTTGGCTCAGAGGGACGCCACTTCTCACTAGATCTCATCCTGCAGTTCCTGCTTTTAGCTAGCTAGCTAACATCCCAGCTAGCTAACATCCCAGCTAGCTGCGTGTTTGACACGAGCCTCTGTTGGGGTTGATGCCCGATTCCTTCTGAACAGTGATTTATTTATTTGATTAACTGGGCCATGAGATCTGCTGTAGAATTTGTGCAATACATTATGTAAACACCATAAGGCGAGTGCCATTTCGTTCCATTATATTCAAAAGGAAGCAGACATTTCTACAGCTGATGTTCCCAAAATAGGGAAGCTAGCAAGAAAACAGTCTGGCTAGATAAACAGCTTTACAGGCCACAGGAAACATATGTCAATTTGATTTTTGGTGTAAACTGTCCCTCTTAAAGGTTGGGGGCAAAAAAAATCCAAAACACATTTTATTCTACTTGAGGATTATAGAAATACAGCCACACTATTACATCACATAGAAAAGATTTGCTTTAGACACACATGTCTTCCTAATTTAGATAAATATATTTATCATCTTTGCAAATGGGTACTGGGCAAACTTTTGATATTAGAAGCTTTTTGGATTAAGGTGGCCACATTTCAAACTGATATGTAACCAATGGCAGATCTGTGAAGTTTGCAAATGTGACAACGTCCTAGATATGAAATAATATGGTGTTCTGTTGCAGTAAATCCCCAAATGACATTTACTTTTACCCCCTCATTTTAGAATGAACGAGTAATGAATATAAAAAACTTTCATAAAAGTGTCTCAGTCGTTACAACAGTTAATCCTTTAATGCCAAGAGTGTCATATTTGATCCATGAGATCTTCATCATTGTGTGATTTTTCTTTTTAAAAACCTAACTCCCTTATATATTTGTTTAAGATAAACAAACTGAGAAATTAATGTAGCATAAAATGATCCAATTAAATCTCATTTAATCAAATTGATATTTAATTGAATCTTTTATTTCATTTGTCAGAGGCTCCATTAAACATTCTGCTTTGCAAAATTTGAATTTTCTAGCAGTTATTCCATCGTTCAGGCTTTACTGGGTTAAAACGATTGCACATGCACTGTAAACTGTAAACTGCAAGCAGTGAAGCTTTTCTTCAACATGAAAACGGTTCCTTAGTGTCAAACTGCTTCCTTATTGTTCGTTGTTCAAATGTATGTATGCAGCTATGACCAAAGCCATTTAAAATGAAACATAAACCTTTTTGGCTCGCATATGTTTCCGTCCCCTCACAGGCAGAGGAGATGTAATTCAGAGAGCGACAGCACATCAGTTCAGACAGTATCACACTAAAATGTTTTCCCTTGTCGAGCTTTACTGTCGTGGCCATATGGCACTGTGACACAGAATGAAGAGGCTTCTTAAGTGAAGGAGAAAAACTTGCATGAGAGACCATCAATCACACTTTCCTTCCCCTGATCTCTCTGCCCCTCTTCTCGTCACAGATCCGCAGTGTGCAGATCCTGCCTGTGGATTATGAGATCGAGTACATCTGCAGAGGCAACCGAGTGATCGTGGGACCGAAGGTCAGGAAGTGCTTACCCAACGGCACGTGGACAGACATGATGCAGGCCAGCAGATGTTGTAAGTCCTCTTTGGTCTCATTCCCATTCCCTTTTCCTTCCGTTCCTCGTCCTTCTTTCATTTTTCCTTTTCCCCCTGCAGACAGATCTTGTGCACAATAATCAGCTCTTTCTTAAGTGTCACGTCTGCTTAATCAGCATCAAATTAAAACCACACTTACGCTGAAATGAAATCCCAGTTGTTTTGACAGTGCTTCACCACCCTCCCTGTTTACTCTTTACACAAAGGAAAGTGTCACATACTGTGCAGCGTTCACTGTCGCCGTCTCCAAAACCGACGGCGGTTTCCAAAGTAAAGTGAACTGATGCAGTCTGACTTAATGAAATGAAACCACACATTTTAATTTGTGTGGCTGCCAGCATTTGTTAGCATCATTTTAAAACTCCACTTCCCCCTTAGGGTGAAGGTAGCTCAGCACTGACATGCCATCACTGTTTAAGTTAAACCAGAGCCAGTCCAGGAGAACCATTCCACTTCCTGTTAAGACCACAGGGCTGCATTTCATCAGGGGCGCTCATGAGATAGTCCTGAATGAGTAGAAGTGTATGGAGCTAAATGGGTAAAATAGTTATTTAATTTCATTTAAGCTTTGACAACTAATCTAAAAAATACGTCTAAATGGAAAAAAGAAAAAGACTCATGTCCTTTAGTGTTTCTTACACTGAAGCTGATTTAGCCCTAAAAACACTAGCAATCTGCTAATGCACGATGATGGTACATCAAGGATTTACCACAGGACTTCCTCTTTTTAAAGCAACTTTTTAAAGTGATAAGGAGACATTAGAAAGATGGTTACATTTCAACAGAAGCCCCGACGCGTGCAGAAGAAGCAGCCAGTTGTGGGGGTTGAAAATGATGCTGTCTGTGCTACAAATTCTCGCTTCATGCCTGAAATTAAAATGGCAGCTCCTGTAAAGTGGCTTAGGTGCTGCGATGTCTCTAATACTCTCAGAACCAGTAACACAGAATCTAAAAATGCAACCGTATCTCTTCATCCTTTCTATCAAAAACAAAATGTTTGTCCCACAAAATGCATTAACACAGAAATGGCTCCAAAAGGTCCCATTTATTCTCAACTTGTCTAAAAATCATGTTTTCTTGAGCATTTAGGGGCCGTTTGGTCAAAGTGGAACTTCACCCGAAGCTCTGAGCCTAACTCCATCCACTGCATAGTGAGAGGGGTGTGGAGGCGCTCAGTGATTTGCAGACCGCGTAAAATACAGAGCAGCACCCGAAAGCAATTCATTTCCACCTGCCACAGAGTTATGAATTCAAATGGAGGAATTTTCCCTCCAGAATCTTCCGAAACAGGCTTTAATGTGGCGGAGGATCACGGTGGTCGGAAGCCATATTCATTTAAGCCGTTAGTTCATGGACATGGTGACGTGATGTCACCTCAGCGTTAGGTTGCTGCCAGTCTGAGCCAGAAGTGATCATATTTAGACGACAGGGCCGAGTTGTCAGCTAACACTGATAGAGTGTGCAGATACTGAGACATGTCTCTACAGAATAATGAAGTAATACAATTTCACTCATCAAACACCGGAGCTCTGTTTTCTTGGGCGGTCTGTCTCACACCGCGGCCACATTGTCACACAATTCCATTAAAATGCTCCAAATGGCACCAACAGCACAAACACAGTGGAGCAGTCCAGCTCAATGATAGGACACCCATCACAGTAGCCACGCCCCCAACTTTAAGCCTCACCAGTATTCAGGTGGAGTTTGACCACCATACATCGATTACGAAAGGAGGAAACTGTTGTGGCCTCAAGATGTTTATTAGTACGTTTGGTTAATTTAACACAAGAGTCTATGGTGACCGGCTTTTGGAGCCGGAGGAACTCCAGTGCTTTGGTTTCTTTCTCTCTCCCTCCGTCTCGCTATCAACCGGTCATCCTTCCTTCTCCAACTATGCGCTGATACATGCAGGTGTGAAGAAAGAACGCAGCGTGGCGATTTATTTCTACTCCCGACAAAATCAGCGAAACATTGCACCAAAATCAAGACACACAGTGTAAACTGTAGTGAATGAAGCCTGTGGATTAGTAGCTTCTGTGTTATAAAAGGAGTGTGGTTTATCCATTCAAGAAGAGCAACCGGAGGAGGTGTGCCGCCTACCCCTGATTAGAGGGCATTTTTATCTATTTTTATATGAATTACACGATGTACAGTAATCCCAAATGGTTGCTTCCATCTCACTGGCTTTGCAGCGTTCAGGATGATTGAAAACAGTCGATGGTATGTTGAGCTAATTCCAGCCTATGTGTTTTATTACAGTACAGTTATATGATTTAGTTTGAAAGCTTTTCCTTAATGTTTAACACGATAGACTTGGGTATTTACACATATGGAGCATCATTTGTGCTCATTCGGAGTTTTGTTTGTGTCTGCCTGGCAAATATAAGTGCAATATTTACTGTTTTAGCTCAGTTTCTCCTCCAACTCCGGAGAGAAATACTTGGTCGATGAAATACTGCTGTCTGTGTTGCTAACTCTGTCTGTTTGGCACTTGGTGCTGAGTACAGGGAGTGTACTGGGAGTTCATAAGAGCTTTTCTGCTGACAGTTTCCTGCTGTGGCTGAAAATGATGCTGAGTGAACCAAATCCAGACAAATCTTGTGTATAATATTCAGTTTTCAAGTGTCCTGTCTGCTTAATCAACAATCTTAATTTAAAGCCAGAACTACAATGAAATAAAGCGTCTGATGTTATGACAGCAAAGATTCACGGGGAGCTGTCTGTGCAGTCTCAACCTGCTTTTAGCCTTTTTTTGGTGTCTACCAACTCCTGCTGTGCACTTTGTTTGGCACTCGGTGGGGGTTGCTTTTATACATACCACTGTTAAACTACAATAGCATTAGGTAACATTATTTCTCAAAAGTAATGCAACATATTTACTGCAGTTTAAAGTAACCTGTTACATTACAGTAATACCGACTGAGTTGGAATACTTCATGGCTTTGCTATTAATAGTGGGCAGTTCTTCCTCTGTGATTGCTCATGGAGGATCTTCTGTGTAACACTGCAGAATCTTTACCTTCATCGTCAAGCTCCTTGTTAAATATTAAAGCTCTCATAGACCTCAAACAGGCTGAAATGCTGCAGCGAGATGTTAAGAGAGCTGTGCATAAATGTGTCTCCAAACCTCCATGAGCTGTTTAGAAGAGCGAGCCACAAAGTGTGATAATGATCTAATAATAATGATATGATAACATTTGAAGTTACTCCTGTTAAAGATGGTTCTGAAAGCTACCGAAACACTGAGTGTACTCAGGTTTTCACATCACTGTAAATAAAACTGTAAACATGAGTGCAAATAAAATTAAATGCAGCTGAATTAACATGTAGAGAAAGAGTAAAACTTCATCTGGGTTTATAAAAATATTTTGAAACACATCTGATGTATTAAACTCGAAGGTCTTAGAAATACAAAAAAAAAGCACATAAGCAGGTTAGTTTCTCAAACAAAAGGTGCCTGATATCAGACACAGTCATCAACCCCGACTCTGCATCTGTAACCAGCTAAACACATAAAAGAGACTGAAGAGTTAATCATGCCTGTGTGTGCTGACTCAGCAGGGATGGGCAAGGTGAGAGAAATTATCCAAAAGTGATACAGAATACTCGAGTACCTCATTACGTTACACCGGAGTCTACGGTGAATTGTTGCCTGTGTCTGGTTCTTGTGTTTTCCTTTACATAGATAAAAACATTTAAACCATAAACTGGTGCACACAATAACAACAGCACTAACAGGTTACTGCAGTGTTTACTCTTTTCACATGTGGTTACTTTTCATGTCTTTGCAAACATGTTTTTAACTGGTTATTAAAGCAGGAGAGTCGTGCACCATCTGTTTCCTCAGGTATCCGAGTCAGAATATTTCCAGTATTTATATTTATATACATGTACAGTCATGTTAGGTCTTTTAATGAATTTCAGGCACTGAAAGGAGTTCTTGTCCTACTTCCTTGTAAGCCATTCTACCCTTGGTGATGTTTCACTCACATTAGTCCCCAATGGTTTTACTGACCAGGACTGTGGAAAAGATGCCAAAGGAAGAGACTGCAGCATGGTGAAAAGCAAAAGAATGAACGTTATATTTTACATAAACCCTTTTTTCTGAAAGAAATAAAGATGTAACCCATTTGTAATCACTGATATTGTGATATTTTGACATCTTTACATATTTTAATTATACAACTCTAGTACATGTAACCTTTCCCTCCCTCCATAAACTGACTGGCGCAGAGCAGATCGTGTTCAATGAATTTTTGGAGGTGTTTCATCTGAAAATAGCAGCTCGATTTGGCCGGGCACAATAGGAGAGCAGTGAGAGGGCCAAACCAGTAAAGCTGTAGCCAAACAGTTAAACAGTGAGCTGAAACCACTCCATGAGTCCAGACACTGCTGTAATTTCCCCCCGCTATTTTAAAATTGTCACATGATAACAAAATATTAGTATTCAAAATACTGATTACAGTTATTTTACATTTTCTAGTTTTAAAAGAGCCATTTTTACATGAAGCTTTCAGGTCATTTAAAAATCCATCCTGTTCTGTTTATCCAGTTCAGGGTTGTGCAGGGGGGCTGGAGCCTATGCCAGCTGGGAGTGCAGAGGTGGAGCACACCCTGGACAGGTCTGCAGTCTGTCACAGGGCTGGTTAGCACTGTCGCCTCACTGCTTCCTCTGCCTACATCTCCAAAGACAAGCATGTCAAGTTAGTTTAAACTGATACTTCCTTTAAACTCTAACATAAATATGAGTTCAGTAAGATGAGGTACTAATAAAAATGATCCTAAATGCTAATAATACTATGATGTTCGCTTCTACGCCGATCGTTATAATACTAAGGCAGGAACTGAGATCCTCTGATTGTTGCCATCGACCCCATGCCTTCTTACTAACGTAGACTTGTGCAGATTTTATACTTCCTCATTCAACAAGGCGACGCTCTGATAAACTGTAAGTGAAATGTTAGCGTGAGGAGACCAAC